GTATGTATGTGTGTGTATATATATATATATATATATATATATATATATATATATATATAATTTTAATGTGTATGTTGGTAGCATTTACTCAGGGATCCCATTTCCATTTCAGCTTTTACTTACTTTCTGCCCCTGCAGGAGTGAATTTCCGGTCACAGTTTCTCTTCCCAACAGCCCTTCCCACTCAAGTTCCCACTTGGTTATCAATCTGGTTTCTTACCTACGTAAGGGCAGGATTGCTGTCCTGTCAAGGTCTGCAGTGAATTTGATGTTTAGATCTTTGCCACCAAAAACCAGAAGAATGTAGGAGAATCTATGCTACCTTCTGGGGAAATGTGGCTCTCAGGAAATAAGAATTAGCTTTATCAGAGGGTACTCTGGTTGGGCAATAACCTTGAAGGTCAGTGGAAGACACAGCTTGATGTTTATTTCTCTGCTTCGGAAGTACTTTCCCATAAGCATAAAGTGGATCGAGCCTACAACCAAGGTGCATCCCCTTGACTGGAATCAAACCCACAACCCTTCAGTCCACGGGCTGACGCTCTCTCCACTGAGCAGACCAGCTGGGGCTATAGAACACTTTTGAAAATATATTCTAAAACACCTCTGAATATTTAGAGAGTCTGAATATTTAGAAATATGTAATCAACTGTATTGATCAAGGGTTTCCATGCCCATCAATACAGGCAGAAACACAAATCTGGGTATGTGCATTCATGGCTGGTTCCCCTACACCCTGAAAAGGTTCAGTTCTCCACTCTCACCAGCTTGGTTCAACTGTGAACCATGTGAATAAAGAGCATAAATAATATATAATTACACGAATTCAATGTGTAAATACATTAGTGTTAGTAATATTTTTTGCTGACATTAGAATTAGGAAACTGAAGACAATTTTCATTCTACATATGAAAGTACACCAATAAAATTTACATGAAGAGTTAGTGGGGGAATTGAATTAATATTTAAAGCACTTAAAAAGAGTTCCTGCCCAAAGTAAGAACTCGTGTTAATAGAGAGAGACAGATCATTAATTTAAAATTAGCTAATTAGATATCAAGTGTTAACTAGCATTTCTATCAGGGGAAGGGAGGTGGGGAGCAGCAGAGCTGGTTGTGCTAATTTTAAAAACACTTTATTTTTTATGGAGAAGCAGTAGTAGCTTGAAGGCAACATGGCGCCTGGCTGGTCTTCTGTCATTCATTGGAAACTTGTCACTGGCCTGATTCTCTCTGCCGCCACAGAATTCATCAATACCATGCATTTCCTTTTGCATTATTCTTTGCTTCCTGTGAATTAGTTTTGTTAGGAAGACTGAGTGACTATATATTCCTGCCAGCATAGGTGATATTTATTATTATTATTGTTGTGGTGGTGGGAGTTGTCTTCTCTTTAGTTCTCAAGATCATACGGGGTAAAATACTCAATGGATACACTCTTTTTAAAAATATACTTTATTGATTTTTTACAGAGAGGAAGAGAGAGAGGGATAGAGAGTTAGAAACATCAATGAGAGAGTCATAGATCAGCTGCTTCTTTCACACCCCCTACTGGAGATGTGCCTGCAACCAAGGTACATTCCCTCGCCTGGAATCGAACCCGGGACTTTTCAGTCTGCAGGCTGACACTCTATCCACTGAGCCAAACCAGTTAGGGCTCAATGAATACACTCTTAATGGATATTTCCAGATTACATGAGATAACTCTGTTTTCTTATAGAACTGTACTTGCCCCACAAATTATGGCTAGTCCCTGTTCCTTTGCCACTTGAAAAATGATGGTAGATTAAGGAAAAAAAAGGGGGGATAGGGGGTGCAATGGTACTTCATCTTCCACTTGACTTTGGACATTATTGTAGGACAAGATGTTGTCTGGCATCCCCACTTTGTAGCTTTATAAATCACTAACGCACGTCCTAATTCTAATGTGTCATTCATATTTCACTTTTATATCCTACAAATATGTGAATCTTACCAATTGCCATAGATAAGAGGAAAAAAATATCCACAGGAATCTTTCTGGGGATTCTACTGCCTTCTAAAAAGAATGAATTTCAGATACTAGAGACATGAGTTTAGCACTCAAATATATTTCACGTCTACTTGTCATTTAAAAAGAAATAAGATGAAAGGCTTATTCGTATTCTCTTTCCTAGACACGGAGACAGCTGTTTGTTCTGTGTACAACAGGTGTCCAATAAATGGTTTGGGTGACTGTCAGTGGTGACTCTTAATGACTTTATCATGAAGTAATTATTCATGTGTGTTGTTAAAACCATGTTTCTTAGAAATTACCCCAGGACGGTTTTCAGCTGACACAATTACATACACTTGGATAAAATTAAATTCTATTTTAAGCTATCCTTTCCTACGAATATAATTTACTGATTTAGAGACTTTCAGAATACCATTAGGACGAACAATGGAAAGAATTAAAATATGCATGCCCACGAAACAATAAAGGCTTATCAGACGTGTTCAAGTGAAAGACAACAATGAAATGAATGATTAGTTTTCAAAGTAGCGGCATCTGCTCTGACACTACTCCCAGGATACTTCCCAGTCCCCAGAAAATACTTGCTTTTGAATTGGATCTTTATTCAAAAGAGCGAAACTCTCAACAGAGACATATGGGACCAAACAAATCGCAGGGTTCTGTGGAATTGGGATTTAAAATGCATTTCTTATTTGTAACACTGCTTGCTTAAAAAGATGATTGAAGCATATCAATTGGATATACGTGCAGATATTTTTCCCTGTAATCACTGGTGCTAGGATGTTATCATTTCCTTTGGTTTTACTTTCCTTTCTAGTAAAAGCCTATACCTGCAGTGTCCCTGAGATGCCAGGACTCTGCATTTATTTGTTGTAGAAGAAATAACAACCCTAATATTCATGAATATCATTTTCTATTACTTTGTCAAAAAGTGGCATTTTCTAGCACTGATGAAGTGGCTTGGATCTGAATATCGAACCAGCCCTAACACACGAAATAAATAGAAATTAATTGCTCTAGCCAGGTATCTGAATTAATGTGGTTCATTTATCAAGTGAGAAATGGCATGTTTTAAGAAGTGCTAATGACAATATGCTACTCTAATACAGATGGTGCCTACACACAAAAAACAAGTGTTAACACACCTCGTCCAAATTCTGTTGAATAATGATAATAATAGTAATAGCCATAATGGCATTTGAAAATAACCATGTTTTTAATATATATATATATTGAATTCAGATAGGAAGGGAGAGGGAGAGATAGAAACATCAATCAATAATGAGAGAGTATCACTGATTGACTGCTTCCTGCCCCCTACTGGGGATGGAGCCCTCAACCCGGGCATATGCCCTGACCAGGAATAGAACAGGTGATGTCCTGGTTCATAGTTTGACATTCAACCACTGAGCCACACCAGCCTGGCTGAAAATAACTGCTTTTGAATTGGATCTTTAAAACTAACCAAATTAGAATTTAAAGCAACAGTTCATAATGTCATAGACTTTTAAAGGTACATGAGACTATCATCCAGAACTCTCTATCTCATTTACAAAGGAGGAAACTAAGGCACAGAGAGGCTAAGGTTTAGCACATACCAGTTAACTTTATAATGGGCAGAAAAATGACTAAAGTGTACTCTGTCGCACTTGCCAAATAATACTTGTTTAGCCATTGGAAACATTTTCCAAATCTCTCAGTATGTTGATGTGTTCGTGGAGTTAACCTTCACATGTATTTCCTGATATTGTCAACAAACATATTTTCAATAAATACTAAAAGCAACAAAAAGTTCGTGTCCTGAGCCCAGTTTATAATATTTACTTCAGATATAAAAGGAGAGATGAGGGAAAGGTTCAGCTATCATATTTTTTAAATGTGATAAAATATATAACGTTTGTCATTGTAATCTTTCTAACCATACAATTCAGGGACATTAACTACATTCAGGATGTTGTGCAACCATCACCATTATCTTGTCTCTGAAAAGTCATCATCTCCCCCAACAGAAATCCTGTAGCCATTATGCAATAACTTCCCAACCCCTCTCCCCCATCTAGCCTCCCCTGACGAATTCTAATTCATTTTTTGTCTCAGTGAATTTAACTATGCCAGAGAGGTCAAATATGGAGGAGCACACCATATTTGCGTTTGGACTCACGTATTTTCAAGGTTCCTTTTCATGGTGGCAGATACCAAAACAGCGTTTATTTTTATGGGCAGTTGTGATGTTTCTGCCTTTTGGCTGTAGTCCCAGCCGTCCTTTTGCTTTGGATAATTAGCAGACCTTTTAGATTATTATTTATTTTCGTGCAGCATCAACTTTTGTTGCTACTATTGGTTAATCAGATATTTGAAAATAAGACAATTTCAGGCATGATAATTAGTGTAACAAAGATGAGAGTTGGTATTGGAGCTTTAAATGCTTTTTTATTTTTTTCTCTCTTTAGTATCCATTTATATTTTACACTTATATCAGTCATAGCAAATTGCAAATGTTAACCATTAATCAGAGTATAGAGTCAGATTGTATAATTTTCTATTTAAAATTCCTCTTTAAACATTAGTAAATATGCTTCATAATACTTTACATATTCTATACTAAGTTAATAAACATTTCTGAAGATATTTCTTTGACATAAAACACTTGGAAAGGCTTAGAATACTACTAGCAAAAATGAAGGATGCATTAATGACCACTATCTATGCAGAGAGTTTATTCAAAGACCATCAAAATGGAGAACATGAAAAAAAAAATAAGTTTAGCTTACATTTTCTGACCAAATTATTTTATCTTCTTCCCTGAACGTTCTGTTTTAAAGGGAAACCAAAAAATCAATACAATTAAAGCATCAAAACATCTTCCTGTTCGTTTGCTCCTCACCAATAATAAATTGCATGGACTCGATTATTTTTAATATTAACATGTGAAATGTGTTTTTGGAGAAAAAGGAAGATAATTGTTTATAATGAACATATTGGATTTTCACAATTTTTTTTCCCAGATGAATTCAAGTTGTTTATGAAAAGGCTGCCCATGAACTATTTCCTTAACACGTCCACCATCATGCACTTGTGGACAATGGATTCTAATTTCCAGCGTCGCTATGAGCAACTGGAGAACAGCATGAAGCAACTCTTCCTGAAGGCACAGAAGATTGTGCATAAGCTCTTCAGCCTCAGCAAGAGGTGTCACAAACAGCCCCTCATCAGCCTGCCGAGACAAAGGTAGGACACCAGTGGTGACGTAGACACCTGAGGGCATTGTTTTCCCAGGGGGCTCTGCTTCTGTCTGAACGCAGGTGTGTGATAAGGCATCGATCGGTGTTACTCACATGATAGGCAATCATCAGAACACACAGTATGATTCCCAAGTCTCAAAGGCATAAATTGTGGTTACTTTCCAAAGGAATATAGCACATGGGGAACATACAAAGCAACACTTCCTAATTTTTTCCTTTTCTTTCTTTCTTTACTTTTTTTTTTACTTTCATAGAAGGGAGTGGGAGAGAGAGAGAAACATCAATGATGAGAATCATTGATTGGCTGTCTCATGCATGCCCCCTACTGGGGATCCACCCCGCAACCATGGCATGTGCCCTGACCAGGGATTGAACCATGACCTTCTAGTTCATGGGTCCACCACTGAGCCATGCCAACTGGACTTTTTTCTTTTATTGTTAAAATTGCGGAGTCATGATAACGTGGTATGTGAGGTAGTCAACTAAGAATTGTATCACAGTGAATCAAAAACACAGAGCCTTATCGTTAAATTGTAAGCAATGGGGTAAACTGGGCCACAGAGTGAAATTTCTTATTATGCAACTTAGAATGTAAAGAATTTAAAGTTTATGTTCTTTGATTAGTGTTCAGAGTACCATACGCCTTATTCAACATGAGTCTCTGAAAACTGCTGGAGACGTTACTAATAATTTATGTGAATGATGACAGACTATTAAAATACTGTATCTGAACTCTAATTTCAAGAAACACAATTTTTAGACTTGCTACTTTAAGACATATTGACCAGACAGTGCAATAAAAATTGTATTTATTTATTTATTTGAAGTCAGATTAAAAATACATCAGAATGAAAAGCTAAGGGAAAATACAGAATGATATCACAAAAAGTAAGCATTTGCACTATCTCGGTAATAAAATGCTTGCATGTTGACTTGATGCTTAAATCATTAAGAGGAGAAATCTATAATTATAGATTTTTTTTCCCCTGAAAAAAAGTAAACACCTGAAAGTCTATACATTTTTCAAAATTCAATTTCAAAATAAATCATTGGCATTTCCTTTCAAATCACTGGATTTTAGGACATTCATAATTTATGTACCCATCCCCACAATCCAAGTTGAGAAGATTTTTATTCTCCCCAAAACAAATCCAGTCCTGATTAGCAGTAACTACCCATCCATACTCCCATACCCAGCCCTAGGCTATTTAGCTGTAGAAACCAGTCACACTGCCTGCCTTATCCTTCTAGCTGTCCCTGGTGTGGACAGTCCTTATAAAGGCATTCATGCACTGTGTGTCTTTGTGACTGGCTTCTTTCATTTAACGCAGTACTTTCAGACTCATCTGTGTCGCATGTATCAATAATATGGGTCTCTGACATGTCACGTATTCATTCATCCTTTGATGGACATTGTGGTTGACTCCACTTTTTGGTTAGTGTGAGTACTGCCAGTATGAACATCCATGTATGTTTTTTAACGTGGAGGTATGTTTTCAATTTTTGGGGGGGAATATATCTGAAATTGAGTGAAGGTAACTATACGTAACATTTTGAGATGCTGCCAAGCTGTTTCCCAAAGTGGCTGCAGCATTTTGTATTTCCATGAGTGACACCTCCATTGCCCCATAATCCTCTGTTGTTGTCCTTCCTTGGCTTGCAGGCATCCTGGTGGGTGTGAAGTGAATCTTGTGGTTGTAGTTTCTATTTCCCGGTGACTAATGATGCTGAGTGTCTTTCCTGTGCTAAGTGCTCATTGGCTATTGTCTTGGAGAGATGTCTGTTCAAATTCTTTACTCACTTTACCATTCACTTTACTTTTGTTATTGAGTTGTTGTAAGAGTAAGTTATGTATTTGGATGATGGTCTCCTATCAGTTCTATGATATACGAATATCTCCTTCCATTCTCTGACCTTTCTCCCTCTCTCTCTCTCTCTCTCTCTCTCTCTCTCTCTCTTTCTCTCTCTCTTTCTCTCTTTCTCTCTCTCTCTTTCCTCTCTCATTAGTTTAGTTAAAGTGTGCTAATTTGGTTTCAAAGAACTAACTTTTGCTTTTCTTTGTATTTTTTCTTTGATTTTTTTCCACTGTAATCATTATTTCATCCTTCTGTTTGCTTATGTTTACTATGATTTTTTTTTACTGTCATAGAAAAGGTAGGTTATAATTTAAGAACTTTCATTTTGTTAAAATATAAGCATTTCCAGCTATAAATATTCCTCTGAGCACTGCCATAAGTTTTAGTATTTTATGCATCCTTTTACGATTTTTTCTTTTTTCTTTACGTAAGCTGCTTGTATATATAGCTGCCTGTGTACATCCCCAAGTAGAGAATCCCCAGCTGGTGGGAGACACTGTTACTTAGGTGTAATGAACGTCATGCTTCACATGTGGAGTAAATATAGTTTGTAAACCACTAATGTAGATGGTTCTTCCCATCAAACAAAAATGGGAAACGTAAGAGTATGGTGGGTCCGGAAGCAAGGGGATGAGTTTGGTAACGCACAGGTTTGCTTTAAGAAATTGGCTTAACAAGTCTGGACAGGAGCGGGACGTTGACATCTGAAGATCTGAGCAGGCTGGATGGCGGTGCTTGTGAAACTACAACGTCTGAATGTAATATCACAAAAAATGTGGAGATAGAAACTATGGCTGTATGTAAAGGGTGGGTGGAAAAACGGAAACTGCTAGTGAGCAGAGAGCAGGGTACAATACAGGGTTGGGCAAAAGTGGTTGTCGGTTGTTCATCTGTAAACCTACTTTTGCCCACGTGGCAGTATTGCTCAGTGGTAGAGCATCAGCCCGTAGTCCAATGGGTCTTGGGTTCGATTCCCAGTCAAGGGCATGCACCTGGGTTTCAGGTTCCTTCCCTGGCCCGGTAGGGGCACATTTGGGAGGCAACCAATCAATGTGTCTCACATTAGTATTTATTTCTCTCTGGGTCTCCCTCTCATTTCCACTTTTGCCAAAACAAAACAAAAAACAAAAAAAAATCAATGGAAAAATATCCTCAGGTGAAGATTAATAATAACAGAAAAAGAACCACATTCATGTCTAGAAAAACAATTCAAACATCCAAATTTCCCATAAAAGTGTAAGATATTTAAGGAATGTATGAAAACATGAAACAGTCCAAGTTGGATGTGTACCGAATAAATAAATATGCAACATAACATAAAGATGTATTCTGTGGAACAAGTTTCACTAAACTATAGGACTTAATATTTGATTTATTTAGTTCAGAAGTTTTAGGAAACAAAGATTGCCAAAGGCTTTTCTTGACTTCCTTTTTTCAATGCAGCACAACTCCTCTGTTAGCCATTACTCCTGGCACACACCACGCAGACTTCTTGCTAGTTGCACCATTTCATTGAATTTGGTTTTCAACCATGAGCATTTTTCTTCTTCTAGGAATGTGAGATATTGTTTCTGTTTTGCTTTCTCATTTTAATTGAATATAAAATGTCATTGGGAAAACTAAAAACCAATATGTAATATGATCAGTTACTAGAATACAGTGAGAAAAAGTTTGGCTATTTGTGGGGTATATTTCCAGAAACTTCTAAAGAAGTGGCTGAGCAGCCCTAGCTGATTTGGTTCAGTGGATAGAGCATCGACCGATGGGCTGAAGGGTTCTGGGTTTGATCCCTGGTCAGGGCACATGCCTGAGTTGAGGCTCTATCCCCAGTGTGGGGTGTGCAGGAGGCAGCTAATCGATGATTTCTTTCTCATCATTGATGTTTCTATCTGTCCCTCTTTCCTCATCTCTGAAAGCAATAAAAATATATTTTAAAGAAGTGTCTGAGCCAGTGGTCTGCAAACTGCGGCTCGTGAGCCACATGCAGCTCTTTGGCCCCTTGAGTGTGGCTCTCCCACAAAATACCACGTGCGGGCACACATGTACAGTGAGATTGAAACTTCGTGGCTCATGCACAGAAGTAGGTTTTCGGCTCTCAAAAGAAATTTTAATCTTTGTAGTGTTGGTATTTGGCTCTGTTGACTAATAAGTTTGCAGACCACTGGTCTAAGCAAAACCAGTGACTCAGTTCCATTGCAAATTCTGATTTTTGTCCTGCCTTTATGATATTCTTCCCAGCTTTCTTCTTTTTAACTCATCACTGTAAGAACTGGATTTCAATACCTGATATTCTAAAATCTTGAAATACAAATAAAAACAAACAAAATGCATCTTCTGAAATAAAATGATTTCTGACACTTCCTGCATAATGGCAGGTAGGCTATTTTTCTGAATGATGTAGTTTTTCTTTATATGCTTTCTTTTTGGTAAAGCATGACACTTGGATTAAGCTCTCCCTCCAAGTCTGGACTGCCATCATTACTGCTCCTCATGAATTTCTGTGACATCAGAATCCCCTTTCCCACCCGAGAAAACTGATGACATTGGTGACCTGGTGTTCCTGAGGCAGTCACCTTTTGCTACCTTAAAACTTTTGACATAAGTAACGATGACATTCTTTTATTTTATTTTTATTTTTTTTACATTTTTTATTAAATTATTATCTGTGTATATATTTTAACATTGCTCCCCCCTCCTATACATACCCTCCCTCCCCAGAGTTTTGTGTCCATTGGTTGTACTTATATGCGTGTACACAAGTCCTTCGGTTGATCTATTATCTCCCCCAGATCTCCCTCTTCTCCCCATTGTAATTTCACAGACTTCTTGTTGCTTTACTGTCTCCGTATCTATCTTTTGGTTCATCAGTTTATAATGTTCTTTATTATCCATAAATGAGTGAGGTCATGTGGTGTGTTTCTCTTTCATTGACTGGCGTATTTCACTCAGCATGATGCTCTCCAATTCCATCCAGGTTGCTGCAAATGATGAGAATTCCTTCTTTTTATGGCAGCATAATATTCCATTGTGTAGATGTACCATAGTTTTTTGATCCAATCATCTGCTGACAGGCACCTAGGCTGTTTCCAAATTCTAGCTATTGTGGATTGTGCTGCTATAAACATAGGGG